AGATATGACTACATACCAAATCTCAAGTTCATGTATAACCATCCTGTGAGCAAAGTTTAGTGCGATTCCGTGTCGCGGTACAAAAGTTATAAGATAATAAACAAACAGACATTCACATTTATATATATAGATATATGCATGAATTCTCAACTCGCCCCGAAAGTGTCCCGTCTCAAACGCTTACATTTTCTTAAATATTAAAAAACAACTTCTTTAACTAAACTGTCTTAAAAGTAACGCATTAGTTCTCCTACTCAAACTGCTTAAAAAGTTTAGTACGAGTATCTCAAGAGTAAGAAGTTTTTGGTGTTCAACCAATTACGCAATTTAAACTTTGTAAAAGCATAATTCACTTAGAGGCAATTTCACGAAAGTAATTTGTGAGAAATAATTTTAATTTTTTGAATTTTTATCCGGAAATTGACAGAAAATAAAAAATAATTTTCCATTTAAATTGCTGGTGAAACCGGTTGTTTACATGTCAAACATCTATGTATTCATTCTCTATTCAGTGGATCCCTTTGTATTATAAAGTCTTTGAAATATTTAAGTATTGGTCTAAAAACGAGTGAAAATGTCCCACCCGTCACAACGGAATGCCCCTTTTGGAACTTTCGTTTCTGCAAACAAAGTGCATTTGCATTCCCCCTTAGTTTTGTTCGTATAGCGTAATCAAAAGGAAATACAATATTTTGCTGGAAACAGAAGCCTCTTAGCTATGATTATCTTAATTTTCGACTAGCATAGTTCCAAATATGACTACCTACTCTAAATTTTTTTTTATTCAAAATGTTATTAGCTATCTAATATTACGTTCAAATTGGCCCCATTTAACTGGTTAAATGAAAAAGAGCTTTTTAGAAAACGCAATCGTCCACATTGAACATTTGGAGTTAACTTTGACGGTTGTTTTATTACCAATAAGGATTCGAAAAAANGATTCGAAAAAAAGATTTAAAATCAAGTTTTTGTGTTTCAATTTGTTTTGTGCGAATGTCCGCTTCATGATATTAACGCATACGGATTACTTAGAGACTTTAAAATATTTAGTTCGTATGCACTATTTACCTCTGCGTACGATGAGACCTCATGGGAAATAACTAATTACCGCCTTGGCCTCTTTTTTGGCGGGCAGACATGCATACAATTTTGATAATTTTTAATTTTCAATATTTTTCAGAATATAAATTTTTTGAACGTTAGCGGGTCAAATGAAAGCTTTTGTGTCTTTCTGATTGGCCGGAGCAGAAAGCTTTCCGATACAACTCTGCGTTGAACTGGTTTTCAAACGAGCTCAATTTTCCAACAATTTCATGCGATATAACTTGTTTATGAACATGTCTTGTTCATTTAACCGGTTCAAGCCCATTAAACATGTTTAGCTCGTCAATTTGAACGTAGTATAACTCAACATTTGGGCGGTATCGGGAAGGTCTGTAAAAATTTTGTGGGTGTACGGAACCAAAACCCTTTCTCGACACACCCGATAAAGCCGCAGCATCTCGCAAATTCAGGAAATCTTCGTTAAAAACGATGTAAGAAATATCAATTTTTTTACTGTGACTAGAATGCAAAAAAAGAAAAGAATCGGAATTTTTTTTTTTTAATTGATTTGAAAGACATGTGAATTTTTCTTAGTGATATATTTCGGCACTCGCATATTTTTAACCGACTTCCAAGGAGGGGGTTATCAATCTGTCGGAATATTTATTTTTTTTTGCGTGTGGGTTACCGCATAACCTTGGACCACGTCAACCGATTTCGAAAATTCTTTTTGCATCGGAAAGGTAGTGTATCATACTAAGCGGGTTTAGATCCGATCATGATCATGATCATGAAATATATATATATTTTTTATATGATGTATATACATACCACTTTAGTAGTAAACCATGGTTCCTCTTTGTTGTAATCTAACATTTTTATATTTTTTTTAACTTACGAGTTTTTATTTTACTCTTGTTTCAGTGACCTGCAGATGCAGATTATTTCTCGATACTTAAAAAAAATTAGGGTACCAAGAGCTAATAAACGCCAGGTAATAAACGAGAATTTACATACATATAGAGGTAAACAAAACAGGATTTCAAAAGCCAAGAATCGCCTCAGGTAGCACAGGCAATAAAATTTACGAAAAATACAGTAGTTAAGTATTAATTCGGAAGTCGCTTTGAACAGGTAAGTCCAAAATCATTTGTTCGGTGTAATGAAAAAGAATATAGTTTTAGTAAAGCAACTCACAGTGCAACGTTAGGAGCGAAAATCGTTTCGCCGTAATACATATTTTACGTGTCCGAAAAAGAAAAATAAATATTTAAATTATAAATTAAATTCTCTTCTACTTCCAGATTACATACTCCTAAAATGTGGAATTCCGATTCGCGTTCACCGAATGGTGTAGCCACCTCATCCGCGGGTTCGCCCAGTTATGGAAGTTATAATTCCAATAACGGTAATGGTAAAAATGGTTCACCGCATGCGCAACAGCAGCAACAACCGCTTCTTAAACAGCTAGGCATGACTTCCGCTATCAGTTTGGCTGAGCCTCGTTCTGAAGATTTGCAAAAAACAGAAGAACTGCGCAAAGCATTAGAACCATTTAAAGTGTTTGAAAGTCAAGATGAACTCAATCATCGTATGGAGATTTTAGCAAAGCTCAATACTCTTGTCAAGCAATGGGTTAAAGATGTCTCAATGGCAAAGAACATGCCCGAGGTAGCTGCTGAGAAACTAGGCGGCAAAATTTATACTTTTGGTTCATATCGTTTGGGTGTACATCATAAGGGCGCCGATATAGATGCGCTCTGTGTGGCACCACGTAATATTGAAAGAACAGATTATTTTACTTCATTTTTTGAACTGCTAAAAATGCAATCAGAAGTGACGGAATGTCGTTCAGTGGAGGAGGCATTTGTTCCAGTTATTAAAATGAATTTCGATGGCATTGAAATTGATTTGTTATTTGCGCGTCTATCACTCAAAGAAATACCAGACGACTTCGATTTACGAGATGATAATCTACTTAAAAATTTAGATCCACGTTCGGTGCGCAGTTTGAACGGCTGTCGTGTGACCGATGAAATATTGGCGCTAGTGCCGAATATAGAAAATTTTCGCTTAGCGCTGCGCTCCATTAAGTTGTGGGCGAAAAGTGAGTATGATTTGAGTGAAAGTTTACTTAGGCTTGAAATATATTAATTTGTTCTCATTTTGTTGCAATTGCAGAACATGGCATTTACTCTAATTCTTTGGGCTACTTCGGTGGTGTGACGTGGGCTATGCTGGTGGCGCGCACCTGTCAGCTCTATCCGAATGCAACAGCCTCTACGCTTGTGCATAAATTCTTTTTGGTATTTTCACGTTGGAAGTGGCCAAATCCTGTGCTGCTAAAGCACCCTGACAATGTTAATTTACGGTTTCCAGTAAGTATTGAGAATGCGCCTGAAGGCAGATCGTTTAGAAAATATGTACTTTAATTAATATTTTTATTTCCCATTGCTTTAGGTTTGGGATCCACGCGTAAACGCTTCGGATCGTTATCACCTAATGCCCATCATTACGCCGGCATATCCACAACAGAATTCCACATTTAATGTATCGGAGTCAACAAAGAAAGTTATACTTAATGAATTTAATCGCGGTATGATTACCACAGATGAGATCATGCTTGGGCGCGCTACATGGGATCGACTATTCGAAGCACCCAGCTTCTTTTACAAGTACTATCAATGCTCTTTTTCACCGCCATTATTTTTTATACTTATATACATTGTAAATTTTTGTCTTGCAATCATTTGCAGATATCGTCACTTTATCGTGCTTTTAGTTACATCGCAAACTGGTGACGATCAGCTGGAGTGGTGTGGCTTAGTCGAGTCAAAGATTCGTCTATTAGTTGGAAATCTCGAGCGTAATCAACACATTTCGTTAGCACATGTAAATCCGACATGTTTTGATTTTAAGAAAAGCGCTCCCAATACACAAAATAACAGCGGTAACGATGATGAAAAAACACAAACCAATAGCAATCCACCAGTTTGTACATCGCCATTTTGTTCGATGTGGTTCATTGGTTTAGAATTTGAACGCACAGAGAACTTGAATGTGGATCTCACTGAGAGTATTCAAAATTTCACAGAACATGTTATACAGCATGGAGTGAGTTGAGAAAATTGTGTAAAAAACAAGCAGTTTATCATAATTTTCTCTTTTGTAATTTTCTTAGGTAAATATAAAAATGCTTAAAGATGGCATGCATATTGAGGCGCGGCATGTGAAGCGTAAATCTCTTTCGCAGTATTTGGATACGGACTTTTTGAAGCGTGAACGCAAGTCTATGGAACAACATAACAATTTTAATAACTCAATTTTAGCTAATCGTAAGCGTTTATCGACGGAGCTGTCAACNACAGTTTATCATAATTTTATCTTTGTAATTTTCTTAGGTAAATATAAAAATGCTTAAAGATGGCATGCATATTGAGGCGCGGCATGTGAAGCGTAAATCCCTTTCGCAGTATTTGGATACGGACTTTTTGAAGCGTGAACGCAAGTCTATGGAACAACATAACAATTTCAATAACTCAATTTTAGCTAATCGTAAGCGTTTATCGACGGAGCTGTCAACACAAACTAAAAAGACGCGATTGAGTGAATCGGTGAGTAAAAAATTATAGGAATTACATTACTTCTTTTTATTAATGCTACTAAATGTTCACTCTTTCCTGCAGCAAACGGAAGAAAACTCAAATACGAGTGATACTGGTGACACAACGCCGACCACTCAGCCTACTACGGCGCCGAATTTCACACCCGATGGGAAGACCAACAAAAATGGTGGCTCTGGCTCTAATTCGCCACGTAACAGCATTGACAACAATAACAGCAGCAGCAGTAGTGTCAATGTCAACAACCAGAATCAGAGTAGTAATAGTAATATCAACAGTAGTAGTAGCAGCAGCACACCGGCTGCAACTGCCGCAGCTACCGCGGAAGTGGCCTGCTCGTGACCGACGCTAAGTACAGCACCGAATCCAACACCGCCGCCGCCTCCGCCTCCGCCGCCGCCGCCGCCGCAGCCGCAACCACAACCACAATCACATTATATGACTCATTCACTTCATACTGCACACTCTACACACTCCACACATCATACACATTCATCCATAGTTTCACATTCACAGAAATTNGCCGCCGCAACCACAACCACAATCACATTATATGACTCATTCACTTCATACTGCACACTCTACCCACTCCACACATCATACACATTCATCCATAGTTTCACATTCACAGAAATTTCGTAAAAACAATAACGCCGCGGCCGCTGCCAATTCAAATAGTATATTTAGTCAGCGCGCAACTTCAATCCCCAACCACAGCAGCAACGCGGCAATGGCATTCAAGCAAGGCTTGCCCACAGCATCATCGATTTACCAAAGGAACAATAGTCGCCGGTTGCAGAATAATATGTCTGCTGGCGGTATGATGAGTGTGGTGCGTGCTGGTGGTGGTGGTGGTGGTAGTGGCGGTGTCGTCGCCACAACCAACGAGAAACCGCTTACCTTTTCCACTTCAAAATCGACAACTGCAAATGCTAACTCCAATCAGAGTCATCAGTTTACAAATTATACAAATTGCGACAACTCTAATAGGAATAGTTGCTATAATGCCGCCACCAATGTCGCCGATACCGCTGCCGCTGCCGCTATCACAACCACAGCTACCATTTCCAATCCTAATAACGACAACAAAAATTATAGTTACCATAATTCATGTAACACAAATGCTGACATCAATAGCCACCAAATGAATGCCGCTGATGACGTTGATGACAACGCCGACGACGATCTGTTGATGATGACCGATAACACTACAACAACTATTAATTGTAAGTTTTTAACACAGCAATACTATTTATTATTGGCTTTTAGCGACCAACAAAACAAAACTACTCTGACTGGATATCGATTTTTCCTCTATACTCCTAATTTTCCTTTAACTGTACCTATTTATGTATGTATTTTATCAATTTACTTTGATTTACATATTACTTTTATTACGATTTTACACGTAAAATTTTTTACAAAAAATATTTCTCAGTGAAAAAAAGAAAAATGAAATAAAAATATTAATAAAAAACAAAAAAAAAAATGAAAGAAAAAAATAAAAAAATCATAGTAAAAAACAGGAGATATATTTTTTGAAAAAAAAAATTATACAATGGCAATTTTACAAAATAATAAAAATAAAAAGAGATAAAAAATAACAGGAAAGTACAAAAAAGAAAATGAGTAAAAAAAACAAAAAAACGAAAAACTTATTTTATTATTAATTTCTATTGATTTTATTTCACTGATTGTGCATATCTGCGATGGCAAGCAAAACGTTCAATTGCAAAAATCTTAAACCGTTTTAAGGGATCATTTACCTTACCTTTCGAGTCTAAAGTGTTTTTGCAAGGCAATTTCGAAGAGTGGCAACAGCAGTTTTCTGTTTTGAGTACTCACAAAGGCATGCCATATGGGCTACATTTCTTTATTCATTTTGAACGTTTGGAATAAACCTTTTTGTTTACTTATTCTTTAGAACATTCTTGGTGATATGTTAACGTATATTTCAAATGCATTCTGTTTATTCTGGCAGTGAAACGGGATGATCTGGAATTTATAAAGAAACGCAGCCATGGTGTCATGTTTCCAGAAATTCTAAAAAACGCTCTGGTTCAATAAAAAACATTAAAATTCAATTCAATTGAAATTAGGCAATTAAACCGAATTCTGTCTAATCACTTCTTGCAAGAATGAATGTTGAATCTAATTCAAATTGTTATCAACGCCTTACCACGGAGGATAGTTAGTANAATCTTAAACCGTTTTAAGGGATCATTTACCTTACCTTTCGAGTCTAAAGTGTGTTTGCAAGGCAATTTCGAAGAGTGGCAACAGCAGTTTTCTGTTTTGAGTACTCACAAAGGCATGACATATGGGCTACATTTCTTTATTCATTTTGAACGTTTGGAATAAACCTTTTTGTTTGCTTATTCTTTAGAACATTCTTGGTGATATGTTAACGTATATTTCAAACGCATTCTGTTTATTCTGGCTGTGAAACGGGATGATCTGGAATGTATAAAGAAACGCAGCCATGGTGTCATGTTTCCAGAAATTCTAAAAAACGCTCTGGTTAATAAAAAACATTTAAAATTCAATTCAATTGAAATTAGGCAATTAAACCGAATTCTGTCTAATCACTTCTTGCAAGAATGAATGTTGAATCTAATTCAAATTGTTATCAACGCCTTACCACGGAGGATAGTTAGTAATCGTATATTATTCAATTGCACCAAAAATGAAATTTCAAGGTTTAAGTACTTATTTTTAAGATCAGTTTCATCGCTCGGAGAATTTTATCAAAATGATCAAGGATTTACTGCATTAAAGGATTTTTTTTAAAAGAAATTAAATTGTTATAAATTTTTAATATTTATATAATTTTGTTAATGGCGCTATAACTTCTAGCTGGGCCAAATAATTATCCTTTTTGTTTAAACATGGTAAACTTTTCTGGAGTAACTTAAATACAAAAAAAAAGATTCGAAAACAAATATTTTTTTTGCAGAACGTAGGGGTCTCCCTTTTACATTTTTCTTCAGACCTTCGGCATTCGAAGTCGGACTTTAAAGTATGACATATCGATGTACTTTTTTTTTTATTCTAAAATTCATGGACATCAAGTACTCGGTTCTAGTACATACCACCAAATCTCAGTTCGTATCACTATAAAATATCCCCCTAATGTAAGTAAATTAAAAATATTCCAGTAGAACTATACAAATATTTATTGCCGAATGCAGGTGTCACCGAACAATGTAAAAAGCCGTGCCAGCCAAATAAAATACGATTTTTTTCGAAATCGCCTTGCAAAAATAATGTAGACTCAGGGGTGTAGAGCGAACTTTTTTTCGTTTACTTGCAAGGTGGTACGGCCTAATGTATACACATGTATATCTCTGTCATGCGAGTGTTTCTGCACAACAAATTTAATACTCGGAGCATTACACATTCGGCCGCATGTCGTATTATATTATACCTTGCCATCACAGAAATGTACATGTATTATAAGTATTCGTATATCTTACTGCACACCTTATTTCTCTAAGTGCGTTTTAGGGACCAATTCTGAATATAATCTCTTAGGATTCTCAAGGTTTTTTTTACTTTCGACGGAAATAGATTTTTATCAGTAGCAGTTTACCATTTAGAAAAACCACCGTTTNAGATTCGAAAACAAATATTTTTTTTTTTCAGATCGTAGGGGTCTCCCTTTTACATTTTTCTTCAGACCTTCGGCATTCGAAGTCGGACTTTAAAGTATGACATATCGATGTACTTGTCTCGAAGAGACAATTTTTTTTTATTCTAAAATTCATGGACATCAAGTACTCCGTTCTAGTACATACCACCAAATCTCAGTTCGTATCACTATAAAATATCCCCCTAATGTAAGTAAATTAAAAATATTCCAGTAGAACTATAAAAATATTTATTGCCGAATGTAGGTGTCCCCGAAATCGCCTTGCAAAAATAATGTAGACTCAGGGGTGTAGAGCGAACTTTTTTTCGTTTACTTGCAAGGCTGTACGGCCTAATGTATACACATGTATATCTCTGTTATGCGAGTGTTTCTGCACAACAAATTTAATACTCGGAGCATTACACATTCGGCCGCATGTCGTATTATATTATACCTTGCCTTCACAGAAATGTACATGTATTATAAGTATTCGTATATCTTACTGCACACCTTATTTCTCTAAGTGCGTTTTAGGGACCAATTCTGAATATAATCTCAGGATTCTCAAGGTTTTTTTTACTTTCGACAGAAATAGATTTTTATCAGTAGCAGTTTACCATTTAGAAAAACCACCGTTTAAAGTCATCTGTCTGCAATTTAGAAATTTTTTAAGAGGGTTTTAAGTGGAAATTAACGAGATAAATCTGTCGAAAGAAACATTTGAGAGACAAAAAAATGTTTTTTTTACGTTTCCTTGAAAAAATTTATTTAAAAAAAATCCGACAAACAAACAATTTGTGCCGTTCAGGAAATACCCTGTAGAAATGAACAATGGGCACGTTCAGAAGGCGCAACAGATCAGTAACTGTTGCGATTGCACCTTTGAACGCGTTGTTCTGTACGTCTGATCAACTGAAAAGTTGCGTGTTAGATGATCGTAATATTTTTCTAATCATTTGAGACAACAGTTATTGACAGTTATTCCAGGAGAGGAGAAAACTTTTTATTGAATTTTTTTCAAGTATTTTGGAAAACTTTGAATATACCATTTTGCCTTTTTAAAGAAAAACAAAACTCCATATGAATCAGAGGGATTCCGATCTTTATTAAAAGATTTCATACTATTTGGCCTTATNAAGACAAAAAAATGTTTTTTTTACGTTTCCTTGAAAAAATTTATTAAAAAAAAATCCGACTAGGCGTTGAAATGACAAACAATTTGTGCCGTTCAGGAAATACCCTGTAGAAATGAACAATGGGCACGTTCAGAAGGCGTAACAGCTCAGTAACTGTTGCGATTGCACCTTTGAACGCGTTGTTCTGTACTTCTGATCAACTGAAAAATTGCGTGTTAAGGTATTGGCCCAATGC